CAACCTCATCCCGCCCCCTTGACCTGTCCGTCCTCCCTGGACTGACCTATCCCCTTCCTAACTCCCTACCTACACTCACCTTTACTGGCTCCATCCCCGCCTCTTCGACCTGTTTGTTTCCTCTCCACCTATCCTCTCCTCTATCCCTCTTCTATCCGCCTCCCACTCTCTCCCTATTTATTTCAAAACCCCCTTCCCCTCCCCCTTTTCTGATGAAGGGTCTAGGCCCGAAACGTCAGCCTCTCTGCTCCTATGATGCTGCTTGGCCTGCTGTGTTCATCCAGTCCTGCACCTTGTTGTCTCGGATTCTCCAGCATCTGCGGTTCCTACTATCTCTTGGCAAGAATGTAAGTGTTTTTGTGGGGAGGGGGGGTGGTGGGATCATACATTGGGATTCACGGGACGAGGGGTCAGGTCAGAGACAAAAACATGGGTGGTGGCTTTCAGTGAATTGGTGCAAATCAAAACTCTCTCCTCCCCCAACAAATGCCACACTTGGATCTTCCCATTTGGAAGTTAGTTTGTGAACTAACATAAAGAAATTGGGTCTCGCCCAAGTGCCAAACTGCTCAATTATTTGCCTTTCTCACCAAATGTCCCATCACTTCGTATGAAGGAAAACCTTGGCCTTGACGTCTAGAGCACTTCATTTGCTTTGTACTGTCTTGAAGAATCCTGTGGTCACGAAAGGTGTCCTGTACAGTTATATTTTCAATACTAAGTCTGCTGCCAGCCTGTGTGTGTGTATACATGTAATACATATGTGTATTTATATTTATAATTACATATTTGAAGACTATTGTTTAAAATAAAAGGATCATGTTTGAAAGGTTCGGACATATTCTGGATTAACAATGCTTCACCACGTTGTTTAATCAAGGGATGAAGTCAGCAGCTTAATGTATTCTATAAGCCAACTACTGGTTAAAGAATAATCATGTGACTTTGGAGAAAAGGCAAGCAAAGCTTTCAAGGAGATAAATGATAAGGTTTATGGCCTTTAATTGATAGAAGATGAGTTTTGAAAAGACGAGAGGGCCTCGAGGCCAATGGTTGCCGAGGAACCCTTACTGGTCACGGGTTTATGTTCCACAAAGCAAATGTAGTCTCTAAGAAAGATACCCCAGAAACTGTACATCTCTCTCCTGTTCTCACTTTCTCAGTAGAAGGTCCTGAGAATCTGATACAGCTTCCAAATCCCTGTATCTCTGACTACATTATAGACTTGAAAAACTGAACTGTGACCAATTTCTAAAGATTCAGATCCACATTGCTTGCATTCAGAACTGAAGCCCATCCATCAGTCTACATTTGTCAGCAAGAAATCCAAGAAACCATGTGACACCATCTCATTCTATCCATTTGTTTTCAGACCCTTAGGTCACAGAGGTGTTTGACTGCCTTTTGTCCTTTCTTTTTGAAAGCCATAACTCTCCAGAGATTGTTGTCTGCGTGTGTGTGTGTGTGTGTGTGTGTGTGTGTGTGTGTGTGTGTGTGAGAGAGAGAGAGAGAGAGAGAGAGAGACTATATTTGGGATTCAGGGATATAGTTTAATTCTAGATCACAGTTTAGATGTTAATCACTGTTTGCTTTAAAAATAAGTTTTGTTCATAAAAACTGATGATTATGAATTCATCAAAGAAGCCTGGTGAAAATGCCTTTTATTCCACATAGTAGTACAAAAAAATCTTCGCTAATTTGGTGATCGAGACAATACATTTACACTAAAAATGTGACTGGCGGAGTAATGGGATTTGATTACCATTACATTTATCATCATCACAGTAATAACAAAAGAACATAAGAAATAGGAGCAGGAGTAGGCCTTCT